ACAGTCGCACCAAGCCACAACTGCGGGGATAGCCTGCCCCGATTAAAATACATATTTTTTTAGCAAGCCTTGTTATAGATTGCTTCTTCTTTTTTGCATCGTAACAACGGTTTATGTACAGTAAGATCCGAAAATGATAATTCTTGTACTTTTATCATCACCTTTATCTCAAACTAATATATTTATATAATTTTCATGATATTATTGTCATCTATGATCTGAAAATTCAGCATCATATCAACGGATTCGATGATAGTTTGTATCGGCATCTATATCTAGTCTTTGTGTGAGAACGAGACAACAATAATATTCAATGTCTCAGATGTAAATTATGCGAAGAGATCACAAATTTGTATATTTTTACTGAATTAATGAATCTATGAACAAGGGCTTTGATAAAAAAATTTGAGTTGTAGGGAAGATATCATTACACTAAGATGTATCACTTTATTCAATATTTTTTTAACATTTTTTTAAATACGCTTTTATTCTTGTACATACAACATGGACTAATTCTTTACAAAGATAGCAATCACATTAGATGATAAAACATCCAAATTATAAGTTGTTTGTATGTCATTTGATTTCTCTATTATATATATAGTTTTTAGTTTGTAATAGAATACTTAACTATAATTATAAAATCTAGAATCTTTTTTGTTTTGTTTTGTTTTTTACTTTTTATCTAATTAAATTTTCCAGATATACAAAAATAAATGATAAAACATAATGTTAAAAGAAAAATATTCTAAGGATGAATGACATATTTGTTTTGAAGATTCTATAAAGAAGATAAAAGTTCCATCTTAAGATGAACATGTCGATCAGACTCAGACGGTATGGCTGAATGAGCTCAGGAAGACTATCGGAATGACCTTAAAGGGAACAGAGTGAATATACGTCTCAGATATTGAAGGTATGTGTGAACTGCACATTTGCATAGATTACAGTAGAATACAATCACAACTCTCCAAGCTAATCCAACAAGTATGTACCAGGAAAGGACTACCAGGAAAGGACTTCAGTATGTACCAGAGATGACAGTTGTCCTGACGGTAAATTGGCGTTCATCAACAACACCTCGAAGGAAACAAGGTCGGTGGAATTGTCTCAGCGTGCTTCCTGTAACCTCTTCAGCATTTGTGTAGTCTGCCGAGTCCAGCAAAATTGAAGGGCCCATTTCGTAAAAGCCTGCAACGAGTTGTACTCTTCTCTGCAAGCAAGCAATAAAAAGGGTTTGTTGTTGGTGTAGCCTTCCTTGTTAGAACTCCAACTTTACTGTATCTAGCTTCTAGAGGGAATCAATCTGTCAATCAGTCACTCCTTTGAGACAAAAATTCAACTCTAGGCAAAGTTTATCAACATTATGAGATATCCTAGATTGATGATTTAACTGTCAACAAATGATGTAAATTAATTAATGTTAATATTTTAAAACAAAATATTATTATATTTTAAGTCAAATGAATTCAATGTTTGGCTATATACCTATGAAAAAAAAAATCTATATGAAGGAATTTGATCATATATTGAAATAATTGATAATTGATTTTCCTAGTCTTGACATCAAAAAATTTCTAAAATATACATGTAAGATTAATTTAAATATTTGATCAGACTATATATTAACAATATACGACAAGAATACATTAAAATAGGCGCACATTATTTAAACAAAATATTCTAACACTTCATTTGACATGCAATTACAAATTTAATTAAGCTTATGATATAAAATAAAATTTATATATTTATTTATATTCATGTTTTATTTTGATCATGCAATTTTAAATTTTGAAATTGAATTTGTTAAAAATTATGTGTGATGCGAGTTTTTGATTATTTGAGTTGCAATTTAAAATTTAAAATTTAATTAAAAATAAATTTTAATTCAAAGAAGTAAAATTAAACTGTAAGGATTTATAAATTTTGATTCAATATCACTTAGCTAATTAGATGAAGTGGATTGAAGGGTGAGATTCAAACTTTAGGTCAAAAAATTTATTAAAATACTTTTTAGAAAATGCTATCAAGTAAATAAGTAATCACTAATTCGTGCAACTCACACTGCTTGAGAAAATTTAGAATTATTTTTTATTAAGTATTTCTATAATTAATTTAAGAATTACATTTCAATAAAAGACTTAATTTATAGTTCAACACTTCATAAAAATTTAGAAAATCTCTAAACATGCACACATATAATTACTGTGACTTTGATAGTAAATTGTCACAAAATATATGAATCCTTTTTATTTTTTGAGATAATTCTTGCTCAATTTGTGATTATTTATTAATTAATTTTATCTTTCTATAAAATTAAAAGCAAGTTTTTAGAACTTCGAAAGTATTTTTAGAAAATTTGCGAATATCTATTATTGGCCCTTATGTTTCAATCAATTGTAAAAAAAAAAGACATCTTAGTTTTGTTGAGGCAAATTTGACTCTGTTTTAAATTTAAAGTTTAAAATTTAAATTTAAAAAAAATAATATTTAAGACATCAACTTAGCCTCTTGACTTATGTTGATAAATCATTTACAAATTGAAATCAGATTATTGAAATCTAAAACTTAAAAATAATAAAACAAATTGTGAAATAATTGGGAGGGGAGAATATAAATCAAAACATATGACGTGCAATATATTAAGAAGAGCTAGTTTTGGAGTACCATATAATTCTTGAGAAAGATAGAAATTATAACCTCAAGTTAAATATTATAGCACATAATAACATTAGCTTGTTGTCCTTAAACAATGGCGATGATGATGAATTTTGTTGTGTTGATCATACCTGTCCCCCATGATTATGTACACGCTTACTCATGTGCAAATTTATCATATAGAATATAGTTTACATGATCACATGCACAAAGTTATGTACTATAATGAATCTATAAGAGCACAATAAGTCTTTTTTTACAATTAAAAGCTCAGCAATTCTTAAATTAAAATAACAAAGGAAAGGTTCGAATATATATATGTACATTGCGATGCGTTTTGGATTCGAAGTTTCCTTTAAGGGGAGCTTTGATATGTCCGTTAATACAACGTAAGGACAGTGAAGAGCTGAAGGGCTTTAAAAGATCTAGATATTAATATATTTCGTTTTGAGATTAATCAAACGATTTTGAGCAGAAGTTTGGGTCCGAAGGACTTAAAAGTAATCGATTTTAAAGCATATTAATTGAAGCACGTCACCGAAACTCTGACGTTGCAGATTGACGTAGAGGGAGAGAGGACCTTATTAATTTGGCTGAGTTCATCTCTGGGTTTTACCATCGTAGGTGGAATGATTAGTGCATGTAACCTGATTTTTGGATGAGCACTATTTTGACCTACAGGCAGTCGAGAATATTGCACCATCCGGTTCTAGGATTTATACATGCACTGCTGGGTTTTCATGCGGCCGATTATCAAAAGAAGGAAGACGCATCACACACAAACCCGTGGCGAATAAAAGATCGATGTCCCATGATTTTACATTATCTACAGCGGTTTCATGTCCCTGCCCAGTTTGGATCTCATCTATCGACATGTGCATATGGATCTTTGTTACTATTACAGGGACGATTCCTGTCACCTGGAGCATTTAATAATCACGCATCACTTGTGCCAAAATCGTCCACCAGAAGATATGGTTGTGGCAGAAGACTATTTCAAGGGTTCGCCCTGAAACGATCCTGCAAGATCGACGATCAGTAGGATTTTTTCACAGAATAAACGACACCCTGTATTAAAGAGCGCTCTGGGATTAGAGTGTCGGGTTGTGGCCTCTGCGATGTCAGGTTACTGCAAACGGATCGAGTAGGCCAAATTCGGAACCAGCTGTTTCAATTGGCTGCCCTTCGCTAAACCCTCACAGGGTTTACTGCAATCCCGGGATTCCAAACCCTAATGACAAGTTGCTCTTTCTAGAAAAGCCCTGATGAGGAAAGCGCCTTAAACCTTGGCGGGACTTTACTGCCACGTAGACTGCCCGCCGCTACGCGGACCTAAATCCTAGTAGGCCTTGTCCAGCGGCCACGAAGCTCGTCTGGAGGAGGACCGACCGGTGACCTCTGACCTCCTCTGCGCTCGGGATGAGGAGGCTCTCGGCGTTGGACCTGGTTCGGTGACCGGATAGTCTCTCTCTCTGGCGCTCGCCACCTGGAGAGGCCAAGAGCCGTGTACCGTACATGGCTGTCCGATTCGGCAGAAGCGCTTTTTGTCGCCACGGGGTGTCCCTTTGCTGGCGCTGAGGTGGACCAAATTGTTTCGGGAAGTCGAACAACAGAGAGGCGAACTTGCCATCTCGTCCGGTTCCCGTCGTCCGAGGTGGCAGAAGCCCATCGTCCCCATAAAACATCGTACTTTCACGTCGTTCTTCCTCCACAGTTCGTAGTCTCCCCCGCTTCTCAGCGCCATGGTTAGCGCAGCGCGACGTGGTTGGTCCGTAGTCAGTCAGTCCCTCATAATCTCGGGGTTCGCAGGGCCCATGTTCTCCGTATGCGCTCCACAGCGCCACGGTACGACGTCCGCGTAACGTCCCTTGTCAACCCAACCCCCGGCCCGGGGTCTTCTTCGTCAGAGGTTCGCAGGGACGGGGGAGCAGAATCGACCTTCGCGCCAGTGGATGACGTTCGGCCCGACGCCACAGAGAGAGAGAGACACGAACGTGATACGACACGACCGTCGCCCCGGAGCGAGACTCTGACTCTGACCTCAAATCCTGCCCATAGATTTGATACACTGCCTTTCGAGGTCGAGAGAACTCGGCGAGCATAGTGACGCAGCTATTGATGATGCGAGCTACAACTACGGACTGAGGTGCGGTCGACGAGAACAGAATTATAAAAAATATGGTGAAGCCTGACGAGGATGACGGCAGAGCTACGGAACTGCATGGATCATCATCGACATGCTATAGTCTCTGATGAGTAGAGCATGCAGATGATGGTGGTGGGTGTGCGGTACGATGTGCGCCCTCCTAGTCGAGTTTTCTGAACGCACCGATTCTTTTAACGCAAATTCGCCCTACCACAGAATCGGATCATGCCCATGCGGGCTTCGGACTAGCCGCCACTGGTCGCAGCGATCAGCTCAGGTCTTGGCCCGAGAAGGGGTCTGCGTTTTAAATCCTTTTCCCTCTGGGCTCGAACTAACTCTTCTGCCCCTCCTGCGGTTCAGGTCCCTCCCTGCAGACGTCCTACAAGGGCCTCCTCTCCTCGAAGCCGGCCTGATCGCAGAGTTCCCCGAGCGGCGGGCTTCGGCCAGCTTCTGCCCGAACTCTCTTCCCTTCCAGCAGCTCCGAAGACTGCAGCAATCTCCGAGCTGACAGAACCCCATTGGAAGTCCCGTAAGGTAACCATACGGCCACCTCGTTTTTCCTCCGAGATTGCAATTCCGACCTTCGTGAGGTCCATCGCTGATTGTCCTCAGTGAGCCGAAAGAACAGTCTGGAATTGCGCGCACAGGGTTTAGAGTCAGTCCAGGTCTAGTGGTTAAGGAACGCGTGTGAAAGGAGGAGGTGGTGCTGAGGAGGCCAAGCGCTTTGCTCGTCTGGAGGTTTGCTCTTCGTTTCTTCCTGGTCACGCATGAGCTGAGAGCGCTGAGCGTGTGAGCGAGAGAGCGACTGACGAACAATTTGCTCTTGGACCGGGTGCAGGAGTCTGTCGTCCACTGATTTTGCTCTTCGACTTGCGTCGAGAGGAGTGTTAATTAATTTGGATGCTGTAGAAACTAGTAGTTTAAGTCGAGGGATGGAGAGTCACATGTCTCGTGAGTTCCGGCATTTTTTTTCTCGCATCATGCTTACGGTCGTCTGATCGTGAGCACTCCCCGTCAACTTATGTGTGCAGAGTGAATCTCCCCGCGCAACAGCTGCTCGCATTCCGATCTCTGTGACCATAAAGGCTCACGGAGTGAGAAGGCAAACGGAGCAGTCCCCCGTTTGTTTGTCCAGCTCGAGTTCCTTCCTCCTCGGCCAGCCAGCGTAATTGAAGAACTTCAGCAGCCGCCATGTACGAGTCTCCTCTCTTTCTGACCGTCTGCTGGATCGTGAAAGTGTTCGTGTCCGTCCATGCCTTCGCAATCCAGGAAGAGTTCCAGGAGTTCTATCGACGCCTGTACCGTCCCGTGCTGGGTTGCTTCCGATGCTTTTGAGAGCCAGGCCTCGAGAGCCAGAGGCCAAGCACCCGACTCCAGGATCATCAGTACAATCCCAGATGGCGACCGCTCGCATTTCAGCTCCCTACGCTTTCGAGATCGGCTGGTTTCCGAGCGCTCGTCTCTCATCATCCGCCTGCCCGTGTGAACTTCTCCTCGTGCAACGACGGCGTGTAATCTGCAGGCGAGCTTACATCCACACCCAGCCGATTTTCTCGAGGGTTGCACCGACGATGGCACCTTCACATTCGCTTCCGGATCATCGAGAGTGAGCAGAGCAGACGGTGGGGCCGTGCGCTGCTCTGGCAGTGCCGATACTCGACTCGACTGTTTTGTTCGAGCGTTGTCTGGAGTCCAGAGTTGCTTACTGCACACGAGGTCGAAGCCTCGATCGTGAGATCATGAACACAAGCTTGTCGGAAGTAGCTTCCTGATGCAGATCGGCAGACATTCCAGTACCTAACTTCATAATCTTATACACGCACGAAGCGCAGTGGAGCTTGTCGTGAAGAGGGAGGGAGAGAGATACAAACCTCGACATTGATCATCGGAATTCGACGTGAGCATCAGGCACCTTCTTACATTCTAGAAATTGTTGAACAGAACTCTAACGCCATCAACGAGGCAAAGCGTAAAATCTAGGTTGCAGGATGCATCATATCGTACACTCAACGATTAGACTTGAATGTGCAAGCCTTATACTTGACTGAGTATCGGAACGACCTTATCAAATCGTGCACTTCCATCGTACATATTTTTGCAATTTGTGTTATATCGATTGGAAAGGACCCCCTTTTCTCGACGCTTGCCCACGTCCGTGAAATACATCTGTATGCTATTTGTTCAGTGCAATGCCTTGAATGAAGGTCAGGCGATGTAATTGTGAGCGCCGGCAAAAGCCACCCCCTCTCTGTAATGTCTATAATTTTTTCAATTTGAGGTTGCAATTCAGAGGCCGATTCTCATACACGTGCTTGCGTGAACTTAATATCTGGAGTCTGTTCGTTGTGGTCAGAGCTTTCTGTAGGAGTCTTGATTTTCGAAAGAAGCCATGATGCGACATCGATATTCCTTGAGGAATGTGAGCATGTTTAGCATGAACGTGACGTGAACTCGATAAGAACACACGAGCGACGTCATTGACCTGCTCTTTTTTGTCCGAGCTCGGGTCAGACAAAGCTCGAAGGCGTAACTTTAATGCTCGGATCACATTTTGCTATGATATGCTTGTCCCTTTTCCTGTCCATCCAATCTCATGGCTGCTCAACGAGCTTACTGACTCTCCTTATCTTCCTAAATGTCTACTTCCGTGCACCGAATGCAGTCTCTTCCTGATTTCGGAAATCTCCCTTCCGTCCATGCAATTAGCTTTTCTGAGTTCCAAACTCCATAGATCTGCGTTAGGCTACCAGATGTCGTACTTACTTCTGCTCTGCCATTTAGTGTCCTTCTCAAGCGATCAGATTGTTACTGTCACGTGGTCATCATCTGTACGATTTTCAATCTCCACTAACAGTCAGAAGCCCCCTTTGCACATACGAGTGTAATATCTCAATCGGATACTGGACTCGTATGTGCACATCGATTAGTAACCCATTCTGAAACTTCACATTATTACACGACTCGCACATCGGACTGAAATGTGCCGTATCTTTCGAGAATGTTCATGGGACCGCATGCCTCATTGTCAATACCTTTGTCATGCGAGATTGTGGGGCTGGATAAGCCGACCATGGAACGTGAGTTATTATTACACCTCAGAGTTGCCAGTCGGGCCAGCTTTCATAGTCAGAAATCAGTCCTCGCAAATTCACCCGTCTAGTCGCCCCAGTTCACCTCTGTCTAAGAACGAATTAAAAATTGCTGGGCTTGGGCTTATACCAAGCCCGATTACAGAAACACACTGTCGAAGAATCTTCTGAGGTGGCTGCGTTGTCACGTCGAGCCTTGGACAGTAGTTGACTGCATGTCGTGAGAGAGCATGCCAGAGAACATAGGAGCCTGCATCTGAATCCATACTGATTGATTGTGTGTCGTGAGAGCATGTGTGTTCCTCCTGATGTTGACTCGGAGCTAGTTTTGGTAAGCGATCGTGCATTTGCAGCATCGCAACTGTCCAAATAGTCTGCAGCTCTTATTCTTTCATTGCACTGCAGAGTTCGACGAGGTAAGTAGTGAATATTTGTCTGGGTGTACACCCAGTCTCCGGGATTCATGAAATGCTTCCAGACGGAAGGAGGCAGTGTCGGTGGAGGTACAACCACAGGGCAAGAATTGGAACCAGGGATGTTGGAACCTTCCCGAGAGACTGTTCCTTAAGGTTCAAGCAGTAAATTGCACCCGAAACACAAACTTTCGAACTTTTAGGGGAGCAATAGAAGCTCCAGATGTAAGGTCTGTAAATTAATCAATCTTATTCAATATCAGCCTTCTGTGGATTCTGCAACGTTTTGTAAAAATTAGAGATTTCAAAAGTTGACATGTTCTCAGTCCTTAAAGCTGAGAACATGTCAAAGCTGATTCTCCGCTGAAGGAGCGTCAAAAGACCACAGTCCTTTCTTCTATCTACTCCTCTGAACGTCTGAATCTGTAAATTACAAGCGGAGAATCAACTTCCACGTCCCACCACGGTTGATGACGACATGCATACCTTCCAAAGTTTACAAGTTTCTCAACCGACTCTAATGCTACCTCTTGGATTATTGAGTGGGTAATAACCAGGCCATATACTTTTTGGATTCAAGCTGATGACTATTGCTGCATGACTCTGTTCTGCTTGCTCACAGACACCTCTCGATGGTAATCCGCAAGGGCAGATCCAGGTCCAGTACATGACACCTTTGGGCTATGGACAAGAATTATGAATTGCAAGTGACTCTACTCACTTGCAGTTCAGTCAATCCAGCGAGAGACCGTCACGCTTGTTCCTCTCTAGTCTAGTCACCTCCGAATCTAGTCACCACTAGGGACGCATCTATGAACTGTCACGAGGGGCACGATCACTATAGAGTAGGACCTGCCTCAAAAGAATGAACGAGGTCGTCTTTGGTCATGTGCATTCAACGTTCTAGTCACTCGTCACTAGCCACGCCCTCCCTTCCCCAGTCGACGCTATCCACTGCTCTTCGCAGTACAACGCGGTACACCGTAGCTCCAAGCTTGTGGGCTCTGAGATGATGGCTGCGTACACCTTCTCATATTTTAGACACAGATTTGGTGCATGTCATTACGTCTCGAGAACGCGTAACATGCCCCATAATGAAACCTCGTACCAAGTACGAGTCAACTAGAACATTCTACGTTCGCCTCATGGATTCCATCTTCCGTAAAGCTTGGCTTCTTAAAATATGTATTAATGGTTGGAGGAAGACCACAGGTCGACCTCAACTGCCTCAGCAGCATTGTGAGCTGTGTGCACTGGAGGAGGCTGGATGGCCTGTTAGAGCACAGAGTTCAATGGCAAAACCCACGAAATAAAAAACAAATCAAAGTCAGAACGTACAAAGCAAGACACACATTAATGCAAGTCCTCTTTTCTTGGCGGAAACTTTTCCGAGTGAGGATTCTCGTCCATGAGAAGCGAGCTGTATGCACTGGCTGAAATTCGTATACTACTTCATAGAGCTGTATAATGTACACTTGTTTATATTTGTTTAATATTTATTGATATGTTTGAACAAGAAGCAATGATAACTAGCATTCATGTCATGTAAGACTTAGAAAAAGTTTCAAGAATTTTTGTAAAGTCGTTACTAAATTAAAATAAACTAATGATTTATTTATATAAATATTCTCATAAAAATGAAAAATGAAGATGTCGGATAAAGAGCTATGTTTCCATATTTTATAAAAATTTGCTACTCTATATCAATTGAACTCACCTATCACGGATTTTTATTTTTATTTTAAATGTTCAAGAGTATATAACTATCATTACCTTTTCAAAATCTATGAGCATCATAAGCAGAAAAGTTTAATGAACAAAACATTTCGACTCGTAACGATCAGAAATCTGGATATTTAAACTCATAAGTAAGACTAGTCGGTTCGATATTATATGTACTATATACGAATAGTGCATTTTGTTTTCAAAATTAACTTTCGATTCAAAATCCATACGATAACACTAGGATAGAAAACAAAGACAGATCTTTAAATCGATACAGTAAGATATTTATCATCTAAGAAAAGTGTTATGAGATTGATTCAAGTGAAGTGTGAATAAAAAAAATTTCTAAATTTATATCCAAAAAATTCATTGAAACATGAAATATTGAATTATGTTACAAAAATCATGTTTCAATGTGATTTTTTTTTGGGAATTTTTTTTAAAAAAATTACACAACAAAAAAGTACAAAATTTTAAAAAATTTGTCTGATCCCTTAGTCTTCTAACCTAGGTTTAGGCCACAATAATAGTTCAGGTGCAAAACGATAATTGGAATTTAGTCGAAATATACTACTATTGCTTTTGCATGGAAAACCATCTCACCAAGATGCAGAAATTGTCACATGTGAGATTGCAATGTTGTAGCGCATTATATTCATCATAATACAAAAACTGGTGCACTCGATGATTATATGTACAACAGACTATGAGGAAATAAAATAAAAATTAAGCTTAAAAGTTAAGAAATTTCTATCAATGAAAGTCCAATCGTCCCTAGACAAAGTGAATCAGTGAATTTGCAAAAGAAGAATTTATGTGGCACCCCATCCTTACGGTATCCAGGTTCCATATTGTGATGTGCGGATTGTACACGGCAGTATATAAATAAAATAAATGGATATATATATATATATATACACAAGTGACAGGTCAAGCAATGGAATACTTTCAGTAAGATATACAAGATGATTGATTCTTGTATAATAATTTTTTTTGTGAGATACCTTATTAAAAGGAAAAAGAATATTAAAGAAATACAAGAAAATTGGAAGTTGATTACTTCAGAGGTAAATATATATTTCCAAGTTGTTATCATTTTGCATTGAGGTCTAAAACACAGCGGCTGCTGCTTTGAATATACTAAAAATAATTTTTAAGGTAACTACGGAAGTAGCCATAAGGATTTGGGCTTCCCGACGAGCTGCTTGGAGTAATGGGTACTCCATTATTGTGACGTTAGGAATATAATGGAATAAGCTACATATTATGTACTTGGAATACTCAATCGATCCATTATGTCATGGTATCTGGGAGACTGATTACATAGTAAATCATATGGTACATATCAGATCGAGTGCATATCATAATTACATGTAAAATATCTCGATTATTGAGTGACAAGTCATTTATTTATGAAAACGAAAAGCTATTGACTCATAAATGTGAAGACTAAAAAATGTTAAAGTTGCGTCCAAGTTGTATGGAGTGCAGTTGGCTACTATGCGATCATGAGCTTTGTTATCCAAAATGCTCAAAACAAAGGAATACAAATAATATATAATTTATGGGACCCGCAGTGGGTAGTTCAGGGATATTTTGCAAATATCCGGGAAGACAACAAGTCTTCCTCAGTCACTGTAATTTCATATGGAAATAAAGTTAAAAGAGTCGAACATAAATTTCTTGCAAGCAACAAAAACTTTAAACTATTAAATTTTTTGTAATAATAGCAATTTTGTTTCAGCTTAGGGGTTCAGGTAGTTTCAAATTAATCTATGTTAGTATTGTAACATACTTTTATTCTGTTATTCATAAACACTTTGAGCTGATAATAGGTTAATTTGACCTCTCAACTTCTTGGATTGCTATTTCCTGTCTCGTAATGGATCGAAATGATATGGTCTTTTGAAACGAGACGAAAAGGCAGAGTCAGTCAGATTTCCACGAAAGATTTAATTGTAGTCGATGATCGTGTTAGAATATGGCGGTCGGTATAGAGTGTATAAGACCGGTCCCAACGGTTAAACGTCGTACCGTGGCCAAGCATAACACGCTCTGCGCGCTTTCGAATTGTGTGCAAAGGAACACTCGTGGACTAATAGTTTATCAAATAGAGCACCTTATTCTGACGGTCGGCTAAACTCCCGAATTCTTGCGTGCATTCCGCGACGAACTCGCGGGTGAATCAGAATCGTTCAGCAGAATCATCCGTCCTTGCACAAGTCCCACCCAGGGTTTGACACTCCCTTGGGAATCTTGTTAACAGGGGGTTACACCCCCGTTAACAAGAGGGAGTCAAGTGGTTTACTCCGGTTGTCCTCTATCCTCGAATTCAGTTAGCTATTCCCGGGGATTCTCGGGGACACCCTTTGTAAATGTCATTTTATTTCGGGATCACTCACAATTAAATAGGTTACCGAATTTAAAACAGTTTTGAGAATCCCGGAATTGTTTAGGGTGTAATCCCCTGTTAGCAAGAGGGAGTCGGGCGGTTTCCTCAAGGGGTTACATCCCGAGACTTTTTAGAGTAGAATCTGGGGACACCCGTCGTAGATGTAACTTTACTTCGGGAGCACTCACAATTAAGTAGAATCTGGGGACACCCTTTGTATATGTCACTTTATAACGGGAGCACTCACAATTAAATAGGTTCAGAATTTTTCCTGGACACATCTGGGTGACCCCGAGAAATCAAGAATGCTCAACACAAATCTTCGGGGCGTAGCCCCGACCGTTTTGTGCTGCGTTCCCCGGGTGACCAGGTGGTTTTCAGTCATGTTTGTCAAACCCTCGTCCCACCTCGTAAGCCTCGATCGTCACAGCAACAGGTGACATATTTGCGCAATTTGACAATCACCAGCTCACGAGAGCAACTAAAATTCTGAAGTGGATTGAATTCCGCGTCAGACTCGAATTGATCGTTAGATTTCTTCCTATTCCTTCGTCGTGAGTTCAGGGTTCGTGTGGGGCCCGTCAAAACATTTCCGTCATGCAATGAGGCCGAAATGAGGCTAAAGGTGTGATAATGAATTTTCTCCTTACATTGAGTCACGAATTGGGTACCTAGCCGACCTCCCACTTCGACCAGGGAGGGGCTCGTCACTAAGGGCTCCCCACTTTCGGGGGAACGCGAGCTCTGCCCGCCCGGGCCCGCAGCCCGACCTCCCGCTTCGACCAGGGAGGGCCGCCCCGCTCCCGGGTTTAGGGGTCCCGAGGAGCCCTTAGTGGCGAGGGTCGCCTGCACAAGTGCAATGTCCAGTGAATGTTCTCAGTTTGCCCCGGACCTTACGAGCCATTCAAACCAGTTCAAGGAGAACTCCAACTCCATTGGAGAACTCTCTGGTGCCTGTCTCTGTCCTGGGAGAAAAGTTTGAAATGTCGGGACAGGGCATGTTCGAATGAATTCGTGAGGGTAGAATTGCTAACCAAAGCCATTTTTGACTCTCCTCACAAAACTGTGAACAACTTTGGCCTCCTCCCTCGCGGCCTCCTTCGGGAGCAGTCAGATTTGAACGCGTGAGTTCTCAAAGAAACTGGAATTGCGTCAAAATCTTGCCCTGGACTGTGTAGCTATCTTCTGCATATTGCAATGTATACCGTTATCTTACGACAAAAGTTTCGCCACAGAATGCATGTCAGCGATTTGAAAACCCTTAGCATTCTTCCGTGACGCGCACAATTGACTATGAATCATCTTATTGAATTTCGTAACCAGGAGTATGCGTTTGTGCGAGATCGTGAGATTTATTCGTTCATCGATGCTCCTCGCTCACGATACCTGACAACATCGAGAGTTTATTCCACAGACTGGAAAGTATTTTGAAAGAAGAGTGCTGAATCGAGTTTTGCCTGATATAGATTGAACTTAGACCGGGTAACTGGACTGGTTTGTAGTCTACCTGAAGTGGAAGATATGGTGTATTGTGCACTGTTTCCTGATCTATATATAGATTATGTCTTCGTAAGGAGTCAATTGTGGATTTCAATATGGCCCTCCCTGGTCGAAGCGGGAGGTCGGGCTGCGGGCTAGGGACCCCCTGGCATCGGGCCCGGGCGGGCAGTGCTCGCGTTCCCCGAAAATGGGGAGCCCTTAGTGACGAGGCAGGGGGGCCCAACCGCTTTAGCTCGCCTCGCTCTCGCTCAACCATCGGGCTTTCCCTCGCGGCTAGAAACCTATACGCTCTCTCTCTCTGCGCCCTGCTGCTGCTCGCCTCCCCCTCCTCCTCTCGTCTCGTGCCTGCCTTTCGTTCTTTTGCTCGTTGATCGACCCCAAGCGCAACAGCATAGCGCTTTATCTTGGCAAGGGGAAGGTAAGACACTCTCAACTTCCAACTTGCTCAGTTCCAACTCCCTTCGGGTTTAAGCTCGAAACTTGGTACTACTTTCAAATTTGTGTTGATTTCCAGGTTTCTGCTGCATTTCAAGGTTCTGTTCCTGCTTTCAATTTTGTGCCGATTTCCAAGTTCTTGCTGCCTTTGAAGGTTCTGGTTAGGATAATTTGGTGCTTTGCGCGAAGGGACGTGCCACTCACGCTATCTCGATCCTGGGCGGGCGCAAGGGGAAGGTAAGATGTGCTCCGTCCTCAATCGACTCGCTGCAAAAAGCTTGTTTCTGCTTTCAATTTCGTGCTGAGTTCCAAGTTCCACTTGCTTTTCAAAGTTCTGGGTAGGGTAATCTGCTTATCTGGCGGATTGGGCGCGAGGGTACTACCTGGCTGGCAGGTACTACCAAACCACGACGAGAAGCAACCCGAAAGACCAGAGCGCTAGGAGGATAGGAAGAGGGTACGCGCATCGCATGGTGTCCCTAACCCTAACTGACAGCAGACCGTCCACCGGATGGTCTGCTGTCAGTCAAAATCAAAATCATCAAAAGTATACTCTTCTCATCGTCATGCAATTTGTGAACTCAGTTCTTTGCCCTTACTCCGCCCGCCACTCTACTGCACTTCATCTTGCCGTGATTTTTTGGCTGATTGTTTTCGTTATAATAATAACAACATCTGAATGTCAACTTTAAGGACGCTACTGCATATGGACCATCTTAAGTCTTGTCAAGGATTGAAGACATGTATTTATCCGGAAATTTCTTCCTTCCTTCAAGTTGGAGCCTTTCCCATGCTCTTGTCCTTCTCACCAAGTCGCAGACACTCGGTAGTCCCTGCCTCAACCATCAATCGTGTTAGAATATGGCGGTCGGTACAGAATATATTACTGGAAAGGAGGCTTTCAGCAAGCCGACTCAATGAACAGATCATAGAGTTCAAGAATTTTAATCAATCAGCCTCCAGTCTAAGCTAGTGCTCTGCACCGGACAAGAGTTCTCTGTCTGGCCCCGTGTGCAGTACATACAGTCCATTGCATAATTCTGGTATCACAGAAACGCGCAGTTATTCGCATGATCTCCAGTCCTATTTCGCTCAAATGCTTGTATAACGAATCACTTGCATTGACTCACTTTTCATTTTTATACTCAATAAATTTATACTATTTATCTCCAGGCCTTCCGGCTGAACCTGATGATAAATCCTCTTGCCTCAGTGAGAAGAGTCAATACAGCAACAAAACTATTGACGTACAATTGTGTACGTAATTTCTAATTTTGCAGTGCATGTATTTTGGTGGATGCTAGGTTCTGTTATTTCTTATTCTTCTCCCATAGCATCTACTAAAAGTAAGATATTTTATGAGACTTCTACATTAGATCGAGATAGGAGAGAAATAAAGCCCCTGATGTAAACCCCGGCCGATCCTTGACATTGTAGAAGATGTTGAACATCGTCATGACCTCGTGACATTGATTTAACATCGTGCAAGACTTCGAAGTAAAAATAGGTAATGTCAATTCTTCATATGACATTGCGTCGAAATCTTTAGAATGGAAATTGTTACTCATAGCAGATATTGCCTTCTTGTGGATGTAATCTTCTCATAACTTAGACATAAACCTTGTCAAAAGTGTTATTTTTCCATACTCATACGAAATGGAATTGCCCTGCACGTCTAATTTTTTTTGAAAAGGTCGAACTCTACCTGTTACAGAGCACTTGCATCCACAGAAAGTTGCGAAATAGATAAAACTGGAAAAGTGTTCCGAAGTGATCTTCGGTGAAAGTTGACGTTGGAATTTTTCTTTTGTCATTGCGATTCGCCATTGATATCCAACTACTGAATTCTAGTGAATTCAGAGACTTTCGAAAGTTTGCTCAACTCTCGAAAGCATTTGAAGCAACTTGTATATCTTCCAGTGGAGAAGAAAACAAGCCTATATTCGTGCTATCCGTGTGACTTCGAGTATTGTTCCAAGGACTCGTTAGTGTTAGGTCAGAAACTGCTCATAATCATACTCTCATATTCTATTTAATTTTCTCTTTCAGATGACAAAAAACCCCAACGTAGATCGGTAAGAGATCACTTCATAACTAACCTAGAATATTCTGGCTAGCAGGTCACACAAGTGAGCACTTTCAGATGCATGAGGCTACAACGACAAACCAATCCGATTCGTGAGAGTTAGATTTTGACGATCCTTGGACGACAAGTTCCACTTCCGAATCTGCTCTGTCTCACTGTAGACAAAAACTCTTCACAAGTTTAGGTGAGTCTAACCTGAGTATCCCTCAGTCGGCTCTAACCTTACAGACAGTGTTTCCCTGTGAATATTAGAGAACCGAAAGATGACGCTTGAACTTCCACGACACGCCAGCAAATCCACTACTCAATCTCGGAGTCTAGATCGATCAAGGTCTTGCCTTTCAGCTTCCATCACCTTCACATCTGGTCTGCAATGGAGTCTCACTTCTCTCAGATCGACAACACTCAGACAGGAAGCTAGAGGTACAACAGCTTAGAAAAACATAGCACTGTAAACTGATAAGGAATCTAGGAAGAAAACATGTAAGAACAAAGACACGGCAGTACCCGCAAGCTCCACTTAAATAAGTAGAGGCCATACACAAGCGGAGGCGCCGAAAACTCACTCAGAAACTCACTCAAAAACCCTAACTCCTAAAACTTTTCCAATCCTAACCCTGAGAGAAATCAGTATGTCAGATCCTACTTTTACTCGAGTTAATCCGAAAATCACATCTGTACCACCTACTTGATCGTCGGCTTCGGCTCCATTTTCTTATCCTTGTCCTTGACTTTGTGGCTGACTTCTCTCGGTTGACTTTTCGGGACCGAAGAGCTGACAGATACTTAACACTTTTAACTACTAGTACCGATCCAGTTTTGTCTAACTAACTAAGCGTATCATTTCTAGCATACTTTTAACTCCTTAACTAAAAAAAGAAAACTACTAGAACTTTTAGTTTCGGTTTTAGGCTAATCCAAAAATTTTAGTCTTTGGAGATTCTCACACAGAGACTTATAGTTGTTTCAATGGCTGCAGGAATTGGAAGCCTACTTAGTGACCGGAAAGTTCTCGGGACACACAAAACTCCTTATGCTCGGAACTTCTAAAATGTACCTTGCATTCTTGTTTAAAGTAAAGCACTGGCAGCACAGACGAGATAAGAAGAAATGGGAAAAGGAAGATGATTTAAAATGGGAAAAGGAAGATGATTTAAAGGCGTACGAACGCAGGTAACGTCGAGACTTGCAGATCTAGAAACCGATCATGCATGAGGCTGTTCATTCAATATCGTGGCAGTGCATTTGCGGCTTGAGGCTTGAAATTGAGCTAAAGATTTTACTGTCCGTATGTGCTTTGTGATGTTGTGTTGACCTGAGGGTGATCATGGATTCAGCTCAAACACTGACGGTAGCTGCTCGGGGTTGTCCTCCAGAGCGAAGGCAGTTTTGCGCGTAATGTATGCCACGCTGGTGAATGTAGTCTACGAGATGCACGAGCAAGTTAAGGAATACGCTGCCAAACCAAGTGATGACCTGAAGAACGTCAACTGGTTGAATTTCGACTGGTCCAAAAAATGCTTGTCTTGGTGGTCAGTCTCCGAGATCTACGATCTCGTAGACTTCGACCTCGCACGTCTGACCAGAGTTCTGGACCGCGAAGAGCAACGTGAACTCCTTAAAGGTCTGGCACCCATCTTTAGTGCGCATTTCACAGTCCTCGTGCATAAGCGTAGGAAGTATCCTTCATCTTCCTGATTACCAATGGCCAAGTCTTCTGAAAATTGACAGGAAGGTTTGCCTGCTCCAATTGCCTGCAGACCTGGACAAACGCGCCAAGGATCTGGTCCATTTCGCCGTGTTCCATCGAAAAGCAACTGCTGACAAGCGATATAAGGAGTGGGTGGTTGCGATCCGAGGGACGGCCTGGTACAGGGATGGATTATCCGACCTGAAAATCATCTTCGAGACGTTTCACACCTCGAGCCTGGTCAAGTTGCTTGAGAAGACAGTGGAACGGCTATGCAAGGATTATGGACCAGAGAACGTGACAGTGACAGGCCACTCGCTTGGAGCTGCAGCGGGGATGCATGTCGGCCGGAATATGGCGGTGAAGTATAAATACTATCTGGACGCGCACCTTTTCAACCCTCCATTCGTACAATGGGAAACTCTCCTCCGCTCAGTGACCATCAGGATCCATCCTTACTACTTAATGGTTCCTGAGAAGGTTTATGGGATCGTCACCAATGTCAGGGATAAAATCTCGGATAATATCTTCGAGTTCTTGGATAAGGAGCAGTACCAGAAGTTGAAGGAAGAGTTTTGGGCTTTGAGTGACTGGAAACCGCATCTGTACGTGAACATGAACGACCCGATCTGCTCCGAGTACGCATATTACTTCAGGCATTACAAGGACCACCCCATGTTCTACTCTCTGGTCAACGTCTTCCGTCGTGTCTTGTTCCGCTGCGAAGATACTTCCCACTTGATCCCCAAGGCCATACTGTGCCTGGACACGACGCGTTGTGGGTTAAAAGTTATTGCGAATCCGCTCAAGCCTCACAAACTGAAGAACTGGATGGCCTCTGATCCTTCCGAGCTCTGCTACAAAGTTATATAATCTTCTCGGAGGATGACACAACCGTCGACTAGACCGGCGAGATCCACATGCTCGAGGAAACAGTGGACCTATAGAAGCAGCCGCTGGAATCAGCTAGCTGCTGACGGCGAGCTTGTTTCCAATCGATGCGGCGTACTCTGTCAGGTCCGTTCACATTGTGGTGAGACAAGTGCCCTTGAACCTTGACTCACCTCAATGTCGCACGAGATTTATGCTCGAAGGGAGTTCAAGTGGTTTTATGGGTGTGCGGTGAATATGAAGCTCATATGAGGCCCAAGTTTTGGGTATGTGGTTATAGTTGTTGCTGTTAATTGTTTTATTTGGACTAACTTCTCTATATAAGTCCAAAAGAGAGAGTATATTATTATTGTTGTTGAGATAACCAACTGATTATCTCAAGGTTACCAGTTCCGTAGTATCGAAAACTCAACAAAGATGAGACTTTATCAAAAATTATATAACATAGTTTAATTAGTAAGCAAACAGGGACTTTATCAAAAATTATACACCATAGTTAAATTAGTAAGCGAACGATGACTTCACTCTTTTTCTTCATTTTCCTTGAAGTTTTTTAACGAGGTAGTTCATCGTTAGTTTTTAATAATCCTTCGATAGATTACCGACGGATTATCTCTATTAATAGAGAAGCTTTACCCTAACCCTAAGAACTCTCGAAAGATCTAACCTATTGTCTCTATTAATATAGGATCAAAGAGTGTTTATACTAACCCTAAAAGTACTATATAAACATGATACTGTAATACCCTTTGAATACATTAATATATTATACTTTGAGAGTGTTCACAGAGATACAAAGCATGGTTGATCCGTTTATTGTTTCATTTGTCTTAGTATTTTGTTCTTTTAGTTTAGAGTGATTTTCTTTTGTGGACGTAGACCAGGAGAAGTGTGAACCACGTATCTGAGTACTTGCATGCATTCTGTATCTAAGTATTTGATTGCATTCCTGGACTGAATGTGTGCGTACAATTATCTTGCGACTTCTTACTCTGACTGCGTGTGAACAATTCTCTTGTGACTTCTTACTCGTATCCTCGTTACTTTCATTACCTTCGGGGTCCCGAGCATAATTAGTCCTCATCATGGTCTTCCAGGTCATCCATCTCCTCAATGGTTGATGTTCCCTGAGGTATCGAGACTTGCTTCGATTACAGAATAATACTCTACGATTTGAGGTATGATCGTACGCATTCCACACTGATTCGGATCACATGCTGGAAGCCTAGAATGCTGATCCGAATTGGTATGTAAATAGCAGGAGCAGATTATGAGCGAGATAATAGCACAAGTCCTACGGGATTGATAGAAGCGACATGATTCCAGTTCAAAGTTGTCAGTCAAGGCTAGCTTTCGCACGCAGGAACCATTACTTACCAACTCATCTGAATGAGAACGAAAGAGAAACTTCTGGGCAAGTTGGTGATTAACACAAGCCCAAGTCTGGTGTTTAGGAACACACTGTTTAAGAATCTTCGTGAAGTGGCTGCGTTGTCACGTCAAACTATTGACAACAGTCCTTCGATGAGTCCATGAACCAGCTAAGCTAGATAGCAATCAAGTAGCTTAGCTGTGTCAATGTGTGTCGTGAGAGCATGTATGTACCTCCTGATGTTGGTTCGGGAGTAGTTCACGAGTCTGGTAAACGAAAGTGCATGTGTAACACCGCAACTGTCCAAATGATCTGCAGCTCTTTTGCTTTCATTGCATTGCAGAGTTGGACGAGGTAGGAAGTGCATGATTGTCTGCTTTTAGATCCAGTATCTGGGATTTATGAAATGCTTCCAAATGGAAGAGACGATGTAGGTGGCGGTTGAACCACAGGGTAAGAACTTTCGCTGTTGGAACCTCTCCTGGAGGCTGTACATCCAGGTTCAAGCAATAATTTGCACCCAAAACATGAAAAATCGAACTCCTAGGGGGCAATAGAAGCTATAGAGGTAAGATAGGACAATAAAAGTATTCTATGTTAGGCTTCTGAGGATTCTAGAACTGTTAGATATCAGCTTCAGTTGTATGTCTTTTTCTTTCTAGAGTATTTGTCGTTTAGTAATAGCTCGTTGAGTCAATATCCTATGGGTTGTGTCGGAATTTACAGCATCGATTTATTTTGATCTTTACCGTTTAAAATACCGTTATAAGTTGGGATGATTTAAGGCCAGTAAGCGAATTAAGGCTCGGTGCATTATAGTGATAAGGTTTCCAAGAATAGTCGAGAGTGAGAACGGGGAGACATCTACGGGAGAGAATCACCTGTGAGGAAGTGTTAGTCTTGCTCAGGAAACAGTAGTGATTTACTCGGGTGCGTAGTTCTCAATAGATTGAAACCTTGTAATGAAGATAGGAAGGTCAAGTCTAATGAAACCTTGGAATGAAGATAGGAAGGTCAAGTCTAAATAAACTGATCTTGGATATATATACTTGAATTGCCTTCATTGAGTAGTTTCGCGGGGGGAGCTGAACCTCGTCAACAAATGCTTGTGTCTCTATGGTATGTGGATTGTGATTTTCTGTAGGTTATGGAGATTGAAATCCCTACAGCAGCGTGTAGTAAAACTTAAATGTGTCAAGAGTTGCCATGTTTTCAATGCTTCAAAGCAATTAAGGGCCGTGGTGCTCAACTGGACGAACTTCGCATTTTAGACACACCAGGTGGCACCGATTCATTTTCATAATAACACGGTTCTGCATACGCAACAAATTTGGAGCAAAAGTTAGAGGCACTAGCGATCATTCATCGTATGTCAAATGCAGAGCAATACAATGGAAAAGCGTGGAAGGCGTCCGCACGTCAAAACGATCATAAATGTCGTCAAGAGACCACAGTCCTTTCTTCTGTCTACTCCTTTGAACGTCTGAATCTGTAAATTAAAAACGGAGAATCAATTTCCAGGTTCCACCATGATTGTTGACTTCATGCATACCTTCCAAACTTTACAAGCTCCTCAATCCAATCTACTGCTACCTCTTCAATAATTCAGTGGCTACTTACTAGGCCACAAACTTTTTAGATTTAAGCTTATTACTATCGCTGCATGACTCTGTTCTGCTTGCTCACAGACACCTCTCGATAGTAACCCGCAAGGGCAGATCCAGGTCCATGACATGACACCTCTGGGCTATGGACAAGAATTATGAGTTGCAAGTGACTCTACTCACCTGCAGTTCAGTCAATCCAGCGACAGAGCGTCATGCTTGTTCCTCTCTAGTCTAGTCATCTCCGAATCTAGTCATCACTAGGGACGCATCTATGAACTGTCACGAGGGGCACGAGCACTATACAAAGAGTAGGACCTGCCTGAAAAGAATGAACGAGTTCGTCTTTGGTCATCTGCATTCAACGTTCTAGTCACTAGTCACTAGCCACGCCCTCCCCTCCCCAGTCGACGCTATCCTCTGCTCTTCGCAGTACAACGCGGTACAGCGTAGCTCCAAGCTCGTGGGCTCTGAGATGATGGCTGCCGATCCCTTCTCACAATTTAGACACAGATTTGGTGCATGTCATTACGTCTCGAGAACGCGTAACATGCCCCATAATGAAACCTCGTACCAAGTACGAGACAACCAGAACGCTCTACGTTCGCCTCATGGATTCCATCTTCCGTAAAGCTTGTAAGTGAAGCTTGAAGTTGGCTTCTTAAAATATATATAACTGGTTGGGGGAAGACCACAGGTCGACATCAGCAGCATTGTGAGCTATGTGCACTGGAGGAGGTTGGATGGACTGTAAGAGCACAGAGTTCAATGGCAATGTCCACGAAATAAAGAACAAATCAAAGTCAAAACGTACAAAGCAAGACACACATAAAAGGCCTCTTTTCTTGGCGGAAGCTTTTCCGCGTGAGGATTCTCGTCCATGAGAAGCGAGCTTTATGCACTGACTAAAATTCTTATACTACTTCATAGAGGTGTGTAATGTACCCTTGTTTATATTTGTTATTCGTTATATTTACTGTTATGTTTGAACAAGAAGCAATGATAACTCGCATTCATGTGATGTAAGACTTCCCAAAAGTTCAAAGATTTTGTTTGAAGTCGTTACTAGAATATATATAAAAAGCTAATAGTTTATTTCAAATATCCTTAGAAAAAAGACTAATGAAGATGTCGGGTAGAGAGCTATTATTACATTTTCTATAGAACTTGCTACTTTATATCAATCGAGTTCACCCACCTATCACGGAGTTCCAATTTTTAAAATGGTCAATATTCGACCTGATGAAATTAGCAAAATATATATGTCCAAGAGTATACAACTATTATAAGTTTTTAAAACTTTATTAGCATCATAAGAAGAAATTTTTTATGAACATAACATCTCGACTCCTTACGATCAGAAGTCCGGATATTTGAAGTCGGTTCGATTATATATATGTAAAAGATACGATTTGTGCACGTTTTTTTAAAAATTATAATTTTAAATTCAAAATATATACGAATTGAATTTGAAGTCAATAGTTGGGAAAAATGGTTACTGGATTTTGATTTCTTACTTGTGGAAAATAAATAGGTGATAAGTAACTATATCTAAGACTTTAGAATAGTTCTTCTTTAAAATAAATCATAAAATTTATTTTCAACTTAGAAGTATAAGCCACTCACATAAGAAAATTTCATTAAAGAATTCAATAAGATGGTTATATTTTCTTAAAAGAAGAATTATTAAAAACACCACAATCGGTTTAGGAAAAAGAATTTCAATATAAAATACTTATGTAATACAAATACCTAAAATCTTTATAAACAAGATTACTAAAATTATAACACTAGGAAAAAAACCAAAACAGACCTGCAAATTTATGAACCGAGAATTTGACAAATGTAAAAAAGCAAAAATCTCACGACAACACACAACACGAGATCTACATGGTTCATCCGAGTCATGGGCTCCATTCACGGAAAACTCAAAATTTATGATGAAATGAAAACATGCCTACCGGTATATATTGTGGTAGCTTACCTGATGACGAATTACAGTTAAC